ATTTGTTTGAATAATTTGATTAACTGTTTAGCTATATTAATACGAATTTGTTGATAATGAAAGATCATTAATCCCCATATGTGTCTGCTAGGAAGATTGGGGTCTCTACCAGGATTTAGTCATGTTCAGTTAGATTAATCCTGAAGACAAATATTTATTTATGTCTTTTATGGGAATGTGATAAGACTCTCTTAAGAACTTCGTTCTATAAACAAACAGGTTGAAATGGTATGTTGTAAAGGAAAGAAGGGAGAGGGGTATTAAGATTATGTGTACTTCATAAAAATGTCAAGGTTTGAAAAATAAATACATTTATACTAAATATTTAAGTACTTCTGTTAGTTTCTTTGATTTACAATCATTTGGATTGTTTTGTTTCACAATAAAGGAAATTCATTTGGTTCTGCATTTCAAAGATCCAATAAAACCACTTTCTGTTCCACTAAAAAAAAAAATCCTTAGCAAACATTCTGATTCCTTTTTTTTTTTTTTTTTTTAGTTGGAGTCTCACTCTGTCGCCCAGACTGGAGTGCAGTGGCCGCTCCCAGCCACCGCAGCCTCGTCCTGCTGGGCTCCAGCGGTCCTTCCGCCTCAGCCTTCCAAGTAGCTGGAACTACAGGCACGCGCTACCACACCTGGCTAATTTTTTATTTATTTATTTATTGTAGAGATGAGGTCTGGCCAAGTTGCCCAGGCGGGTCTCAAACCCCGCGGGCTCAGGCAATCCACTCACCTCAGCCTCCCAAAGCGTGGGATTACAGGCTGAGCCACCGAGCCCAGCTCAAACATTCTGATTCTAACTGCTTTGATGCACTTGCCCTTGGGCATGTGTCATTTCCAGTATGGTAAATATCAAAGTCAAAAGTATTTATTGGGAGAAAAAAGAGAGAGAGGGGAGTGGTATAGAAACCCCCCTTCCGATCAGATATGTCAGTCAATCAGCCAATTTGATATATTGATACATTTCTTGTTTAATAGCTTGATGTGAAAAGTAGAGGAAATTGAGACATTGAGATAAAGACATTGTGGAGAGATAAATGGGGGTAAAGCTAAATGTAGCAACTTTTGAGTTAATTTTTTTCCCACTGTAGCAAGATTAGTCCTTTTTTGCCTGGCTCAGTGGCTCGGGCCCTTAATCCCAGCAGTTTGGGAGACGGAGGTGAGAGGATTGCCTGAGCCCAGGAGTTCGAGACCAGCCTGGGCATCATGGTGAGACCTCGTCTCTACATAAATAAATTAAAAAAAAAAACTAACCAAGCATGGTGGCACACGCCTGTAGTTTCAGCTACTTGGAAGGCTGAAGCGGAAGGATCGCCTGAGCCCAGCAGGTCGAGGCTGCAGTGGCCGTTGAGTGTGCCACTGCACTCCAACCTGGGCAACAGAGTGAGACTCCAACTTAAAAAAAAAAAAAAAAAAAAAAAAGATCTTTTCTTTATTGAAATAAATTACTAATTCTGCCAATTTTCTGATCTTTTTGTAATTAATTACCTAGTCTCATGTTTGTCTGCATATGAATGAGTACTTTGAAAAAGAACAGATGTTTAGTCATCTTCACTTAGAATATTCAGCATCAAACTATATGAACCAATGTTTAACAAGTAGTCAGTTCATACACAAGAATTCCCTTATTACCTAGACATCAGACTTCCAGCAGTCTCAAAACCTGTGAGCGTAATTACAACCTGGGAAGTAATTGAAAAGAAACAGCCAAATCAGTCTTCACAAAACCCAAACACTAGACAGAGGTGAACAGGGAGGGCAAAGGGCAGCATCTCTATCAGGAAAGCAAAAATCTCCCAGAAATCTCCAGGGAACTTCATCTTGCAAGGCACTTACCTTGGCCCCATGCAAAGCAAGCTGGGAAATGTAGTATTTTTTTAGCTGAGACCAATGCTGACCCGAGTATGCCTAGGATTCTGTTAGTAAGAAAAAAAGGAAGACGGCCATTGGGTGGGGGTCCAGCTATCCAAACAAAAAGTCTGTTGTGGTTGCCGCAGCAGCTGGGAACTACTGTTCTGGAGGTGACCTCACTGTCTGAGTGCTGGCCTCAGAATCTGCACCTTGGAAACATTTCTGGGTCTGGATGGTGCACCATCAATGACTGTACAACCAAAAAAACAGGTCCTGTTGGCAGGACCCTGACTGTTTGCAAAGGCCAGGGCAAGCTGGGATGCTATCTTTGCTGAAGCATATGGTATTCCTGTAATAATAAGTGTCCGTTTAGTTCATTGCAATAAATCTCTTGTTGAGTTGACAGGAGGTTGGGATGTTACTTTTTGCTCTTGGCAAACTCATAAGAGAGAAAGTAAACCCTGCTGTGGTCTGGGATCGGACAAAGAGTGAGCCCTAAGATCTGGAAACAATCTCTTAGCAACCAGAGAGCTGTTAGGAGAGAAGAAATTGTGCTGATAAAAGCGAGACCCATCTAGGGGCCAGGAATGCATGGTAGGGAGCCTCAATCCCCCACACCTGCCTGGTTAGCACTGGATTGTGGAGAGAA